ACTCTAACTCTAAAGTCATGTTGCCACTTGACTTGTTGTTGGTGAAATAATCGTTATCAACGTCAATATCTCCATGTACAAATTTTATATCGATCTCACAATTTTAAGAACTGGAAAATTTATTGATATTTGATATTTTCTTTATTTGTAGAAAATATACAATGAACGTGGAACATCATTACGAGGACATTTTGGAACTACAAATGGCAAGGCATTGCCAAAATGAATTGTTAAATATTGATGGAGAGTTAGATATCCATTCCGGCGGTAGGTACATATAATATTTTGATAAAATTAAAAGTACTTCATTAGAAAAATCAGATTGTGCTTCTACTTAACATCTATTATACTTTTAAACCTTTTGAATCCACAAAATGTTGCCATTTGTGTGTTTGAATGAATATGAGTCTGAATCGAAAACCAAGAAATACTCGTTTATCAATAATCGATATTCTTAAACAACAAAATTCAATCAACGCGTAACAATGGACTTATTGAGAGTCGAGTTAGGTGAACATTTTATTTAACGTTCGGGACCGGTCAATTGGCTGCCTAGACCTTGGGATTTAAAGCCTTTAGGCTATTTTTTGTAAGACTATGTTAAATCTAATGTCCATACCGACAAGCCCGTTTCAATTGACGCATTGGAGGACAACATTGAAACATTTATTCGTGAGATACCGGCGAAATGTTGGAAAGAGTATGCCGAAATTGGACTAAGAGGATGGACCATTTGAGGCGCAGTCACAGTCAACATTTGCTTGAAATAATCTTTAAACATTAAATTATATGGACCGTTCTATCGATTTAAATACGGATTTTATGCAAAAAAAAAACTTTCCTATAGCTCTTAAAAAATCACACTTTATCCCTTTTTTTCATATAATTTGCCCTTCAGGCGTCGGGAACTTTTTTAACCATTTCTCCTCTTCGCCGCATGTTGGTGAGATTATCTTATTCATTTGCTCTGATTGTACACGTATATTTGGTGTGGCAAAATATATGTTATTATTTGGTTAACAGTGCCTTTACATTACGTTATAACATTTGGTATTGTTGTACTCGTACAAATTGTTGGATAAGGCTTTGTACGTATTACCCATTTGTTATATAAAATCAATTGTATCGGTATTTGTTTGACTATCCTTCGGATAACTAAAATTATTTGATTCCATATTTTGTGTCATATGAAAGGTTAATAACTCGGATACCAATCGATTACCAGTTTCCTTTAAAAAGAAAAAGGATTCTTTAATGTACTAACCTTTTTATTTATTTTAAATGTGTATTTATTATTTAACAAATACATATTAATATATGTATGCAATTCATAAACTTTTTCGCATTTACTTATTTCTATATATTATACATTTATTTCAGATATAGTTAGGTTTTCTTTTTAAGCAAAGTTATTAAATATATAAATATATACATATATTTTGATATGAAGCATCTGCAATATATGGCTGTAAATCAATAGACTTATTGCAAATGCATATTCGAAACGTGTTTCTCATATTGGAATATTCGGTCATTCTTATAATTCACTACCTTCCCGAAATATAGCAAAAACCCACAGTCGTTATTTTATCTTCATTATTTCCGCCTGGAAAAATAAAAAGAAAAATTAGCTGAAAATATTTTATGTCCCAAACATGTGTGATGTAAGATAACGTATAAATTTTTAACATAATGTTAATATTAATAATTATCAGAAAATCTCTGCTAAGAACTGTTGAAAAACTTGTACGTGTGATGTAAGATAACGTATAAATTTTTAACATAATGTTAATATTAATAATTATCAGAAAATCTCTGCTAAGAACTGTTGAAAAACTTGTATGGAAAGTCTTAGCTAAAAGTGTTTGTTTGGCTTCAAATGCGTCTATGCTAAGAGTTATGTAATTTTTAAAATAACCAATCCCCCATCCGATAAGTACATAAGTACATATATTCATATATACTTTGTCGCGTACTGGCCGCAACAAAAACTTCTTTTGTGTTTGTATCAGAGAACGTTGTATTTACGTTCTCTGTTTGTATGTTCATTTCTTTTGTTTTGCCTAACCTTCCTTTCACTCCAAGCGTTGGCGGTGACATCTGTCGGCAAATAGTTGCATTATTGCGTTAGTTGCATTCGGTGTGTGCCTACCCAGTGGTATAAGTCTCCAAAAGGAGGTGTTCCCCAAAACGGTTGCTCCACAAACAAATATTGGGGCAACAGAATGCTTTGCCGGGAATTCCGTAAAAAGGGGTGTCGCCTGTGAAATTGTTGTCTTGCTATTTTTTGTTTATATCGGCGTTAGAAAAACAACTTGGTGTTGTTTTTCTTCCTTGGCGAATAGTTTTGTTATTGTACGTAGCTAGCGACCTACGCCGTCTTCACTAAGCTGGCCGGTCGCTTTGTTAGTTTTTTGTCATCTCCTTTTTGTGCGATAGTTTGTTTTGACGTGTGTAGTTGTTTGTTAGGCACTTGACGAACAGCCACTGTAGGTATACATATGTATGTACGTATGTACATGCGCACATGCATATTGTAATCAGAAAAAGTGGAGGTGACAAAATAAAAATTATTAAACAAAAACTTACACTTGGTATCTTCTGGATTTTGGAAAGGAGGCTTGTTGTTCCGATTGATCGTGATATGATGATTTTGAAAATGATGAATAACTCCGAAATAAACAATTATATAATTTTTATATTAAACATAAACTAAAAATTTTAATATCATTTATATATGTATGTATTCATATTCACAACGCATCCATACGTGTATGTACGCACATACATATGTAAAAGAATGCTTAACAAAAGTGTAAATTTTTAACAAAAATTTAAATTTTTTTAAATGAATTTAAATCAACCGAAGTATAATTAAATAAACTTTTCTTTTTAATTCATTTTAACTAATATAATAAAAGTTTAAACAAAAGTAGAACTATTGTTACAAAATTGCTATTTTCTACACCCACAAATATGTATGTTTGCACATGCAATACAAAAATGCAAAATTTTTTTAAATAAATTCCACGAGACTAGAAAATAATTATATAAATAAATAAAGATTTTTCATAAAACATTAGTATTTGCATATACGTTTGGTGTATGCATACATGTACATGTGTATATATGCATACCTGGCATAAATTTCTTTAAACTAAAAAAATGATAAAACACCAGGTGGCGCCGGCTAGCGCTTTTAGTCGCTGGCAGCATAGGGCCACATAACTAGTGGTCCATTCCCTGTGAGTCTTAAGGGCTGAGCAGGTCTTAAGGTGGCTCCAACCATTGCACTGGTTGCACCTAACCGAGGTGGAGGAGTGGTGGAGTCTTTAATGACATACGCAGCAGAAATAGTCCGTCGGACCAGGGTTGGTTTCGACACCAGCCCACCCTATTTGTGCCACGGCAAGAAATTCGGAAGTTGCCTCATTTGTCATTATCTTTTCCAACTTTGCAAAAAAGGGGGCATACAAAATTATAAGGAATTAATATACATATGTATGTACATATATACTGCCCAAATTTACCAATTGAACCACAATTTCGTTATTTGCATTACCGGATTTCTAGCATTGCAGTTGCCGCACCTCGTTCCTAAGAGCAATTATTTCCTCTGTTAGCTTTCGCATATTTTTATTTTCACCTGCATCATATAAAATAAATATTGAAATTAAAAACGCATTGATATTAAAATAAGCCGTTCGTGTTATTTAAAGTGGGGTAGCTAATTTGGATGTTTGAATTTGAAAATATGGAAATATGTAACGAAATTAGAAAAAATCAAATGAAAACATTACATTGAGGCCTACAAAAACTCATTGTGTATTCCGTCTCCATGGCGAATTTAGTCGTACAAGTTAATGTTTCCCCATCTGATAAGAAAACTACTTTCTTCAGTATGGCTGCTAAACTGAAGGCAACCTTTCGTATTTCGATAAGTTCGTCGGTTTTTAATTTGCATATTCTCCCGGGTGACAGCGGTTCGTTAAACAATGGCAGTAAGCTGTTAAAATTTTTCCCTCGCAATGTGGTGAATTATTTATTCAATTGATTTTAGTAATTTTTCTAATGTTATCGTGTATAAGGTCAAAATTTTTTGGATAGACTACTCAAAGATACAATAAACATTTTTTGTTTTTAAGTAGCAACTATTCTGATTTTCTCCTTAAGCAAAGGAAGAATTTACTTTATTACCGATTGCCTGTATTTCGTTGCTGATTTCGGCTTGCCGTTTATACAGTTGTGCAACTACGTCATTGAATTTTTTAATTGCAGAGATTAGAACAAATATCGAAATATTTTTGCATCTTCTTGAATGTGTAACAAATTATGAAAATTACATATTAAATCCCACTCTTACCAATAGGTGCTACTTTGGACTGAGTAGGCAACTGAAAATACCTCTCCCGACCAAAACCAAACTCTTCAAGTCCCTCATCGCTCCCGTCTTGCTATATGGTCCGGAAGCATGGACTAGTCGTCGTTAGTTTTCGAGAGAAAGATTTGCGTAAGATTTCTGGTTCTTTGCGCATTGGCAACGGCGAATATCGCAGACGATGCGACGATGAGCTGTAAGAGCTAAACGTTGATATTGATATAGTTCAGCGAATCAGGAATCAGCGGCTACGCTGGCTAGGTCATGTGGTCCGGATGGATTCCCATAACAACAGATAATTTCAAAAAATGATAATACATTTTTCCGACCAAATTGTTTGTCGAGATTATTTAAAGAACGTGGTTTCCTGAAAAATTCGTGTGGTATACATCAGCTTAAACCATTTAATTTTTTTTTTAAGAGTATTTCGATTTTACTAGATGTTAATCTTAATTCTTACCTTTAACTTTTAACCACGCATTTAACAGAGTTCTGATTACTCCAAGGCACATAACATGCATATAGTCCAAAGAGAATTGCTTTACCATACCCACTCGTATTTAAATATTTTCTATGCCGATGATGTAATCACTTTGTGATGTTCCAACTGACAAAAGTCTCGAAAAGTTTTATTTGATCTTAACGGAAGCTTCTGTAAGTGGAAAAACAAATTGGTAACGGAACACAGAATTGGCTACACATGTAGGTTAGAACTTTTGCACAAAAGTAAGCCATCAATATTGAAATCGATATTTGAAATTTCACCATTTATACTATATTTTCAGTTCGCCGTGAGTCATGGCAGTGATCTGAAAAGGCAATCAAAAAAGTAAAAAATATAACAAATAGCAGAAAAAGACTAAATATACCGAATATAGAAAAAATTGTAGTGCAAATAGATTACAAAGAAAAATAAGGAAATAGCATTCGAAATTCGCCACGATGGCGAGGAGCAAAATGGCTGGTCAGCCAAAAGTAGTAAAAGAAGCAGATGCAACAGCCGAGCAAGAAATCGGAAACAAAAAGGAAAACCAAAAAAAAAAAAAAAAAAAAAAAAAAAAAAAAAGGAAAACAAAAAAAAAAAAAAAAAAAACAGATATGATGACGAACAAAATGGCGCGGGAAAATTTCAAATACAATGACTACTACAAGAGCCCTTTTACAGTAAATCTAGATAAAAAAGAAAATAACCAAAATTAAGACGAAAGAAAACAAGATTTTGGATGTGATGAGATTGTTGAAATCAGGTATGGTGGACGCAAAATACATTCAAAAACGTCAACGCAGCAAACAACTTAAGTGAATTAAATGACGGCAATATGAGGCAAGAATTTTCGGCCATTTCAGGACAAGAAAAATTAGAAAATATCTCATCATAAATCAAAATTATGAAAGTAGTGAGAGTAATGAGGGCAAAAGATGGGACCAGATACTCAACATCCACTTTGATGAATTAGAAATCCACTCGGATGTGGCGTTTTTATTCACAAAAATCAAAGTTCAACCCTACGTTATACCTGGAAAACATACATGCAAAATATTCAACAGCAACCACAAACCACCTATCAACATCTTGACGGATCAATTCACATTCCAACATAAACCTCAGGAAATAATAACAACAAACATACTAAAGGATATTATCAACCTTAAAATTGGACCTTATTTAATAGAAATATCCAATGATAAAACAAAAACACACGATCAACAAGGCAATAAAAAATACATCCCAAGACAGTGGTTGGCAGAGGAATCCCAAAAGCTATTTCGGCTGAGAAAAGCCGGCTATACAAAACTATAAAAAACAATAACATACTATGCACTGAAACGAAGTTCCTTGGCTGGGGTAAGATCAGCGTACCCAGAGTGGGCAAAATAATAAGTCGCTTTTTTCCTGTTACAACAAAAGTTTAGTAGTTTAAATTAGTTTCTATGCTCTACTTTGTTCGTAAAGATCGTGGAGGTGGGACACCCTCCACTGGTTTTCCGTTCGGTGAAATGAAATCTCTCTTCCGAATATACTCTACTGCTGTCGTAAAAGTTGCGGAGGTGGAACTCCCTCCACTAACTTTCTTTCAACTAGGTGAAAACCCCGTTGAATATAAACTAAGTACTCGTGAAGTGGAAACCCTCAGGTATACTACTTCTGTCTGCGATATTCACGGACAAGTATACCTATCGACCATATACTGGCTAATTAAATATTCAAAGTACGATCGCTCTTTTTATACCTTCCTGCACGCAATAATAACAATTATTATAATAAGCAGTTTTCTTAATTCTATGGTGTGTATGTGTATACTTATGTATTCATAAAAAGCATACTTGGTCCCTAAAAGTATACATATATAAATATGGATAATTATGACTGAGATTCCTAAGAGTATACGTTTGTATGTATACCTTTTCTCCTATTATATTCTTATATACGCCTAGGTATAAACTTCAATGTATTTATGCGTATGAATGAAAGAATTCAATTTAAATAAATTTGGAATTTCCATGTATCTTCTGTATGTGTACATGTACGTATATCTTTTGGTTGTAAGAGCTCCAGGCTTCTAGAGTTTTGGGGTCCCTACAGCACATCAAAATGAAATCTAAGAACAAGAGGAAAAGGGCTTTAACAAAACATTAGAAGAGTAATGAGAAAATAAAAATGTGAATGTGGTCCAAAATAAACAATATAAGAACATATCATTGCGAGAAAACTATAAGAAACTCTTGAGACCCAAAAGAGCAATATAAATATCAACATCAATAACCAAGAAACCAATAGATGGAAACACCACTAGAAGAAATGTCTCTTGAAAATCGCACGAAATTCGTACAAACTAGAAATCTAAAATCATCGAAATAGGTCAATACGTTTCGCATAGAAAATGTTAAGGAACAAGAATTATTGAAAATGTTAATAACAGTTTTGCGAGAAGGACTTACTCCCGAAGAATGGAAGGAAATTAACATGATACCCACACATAAAAAAGTCAGTAACCCAACCAACATTTACTACTACTACTCAATATGCCTAACATCAGTGCTATCAAAAACCATAGGATATCTTAAAACTACAGAGCTCAACATTATTCCTGATAGATCATACGACTTAATTAACACAATGTTATTCCATAAAGAAAAAAACACAGGCTACTTGTGTAGATGTGGAAAAGGCCTACGAAACAGTCGATGTCGATACCCTATAACAGGCGCTTATAGAAGAAGTTAAATCCAAAAGCGATAAATTGGAAAACATCATTCCTGAGAAGAAGAACAAAACATTACAGAAAATGGACTGGCCTAAGGTATACAAAAAAAAAAAAAAAAAACAACAACAACAACTATATACTCTTCAAATTCGCAGATGATTTCTTTAGAGACTGCTTTCACAGAAAATACGAACAAGTAAACTGGAGGAAAATTCAAGAATGTGCAAATAAGTGCAGGGAAATCAGGTCTCTTCTGTCGAGGTAATAAAATTTACTTTGGTATTAAAATTTACCTTTCAGTAAATTTTCTAACTATTTCGTATATACCCGCCATATAGGAGGTAACAAACAATCTGCTGTTTGATTTTGTGTTGTTAGTTTGAGAAACAATAAAATCCAAAATGAGGAGAACTCATTGAAAAAGAAGAAAACAGAGCTAAAATTGGTGTTAAAAGTTTGCGAGAAAAAAATGACCCTTTTAATTTGGAAGATAGCGTTTTCAATTAGCTTTTTTTTGTCGTCCTGGCATATACAAATAAATAAAACTTATGTATTTATTTTTATTTTTATTTTTTTTTTAATTACTTCACCGGTAACTGTGAGAATAGGGCTGTAAATGTCTAGGAAGTTTTATAGGCATCAACCATAGTAAACCACATAGTAAACAAAACCAATAAAACATGCAGATTCTTAAATGTACCTTTGGTATAACTCCAGCAAAAGCTCTACAGCATTAGCCTGCGCCAAGTTAATCTATGCAGTGTCCCACCTTACATACCACATGGCAGCCGAACGGCCATTGAAATATAAATTTGAATTAGCCACAACAAAAGAAATGGTTAAATGCATAGGGTATAATCTACGCGCAAAATAGAGATAATTTAAAACCAATCAATAATAAATCAAACTACTCCGGAATAAAAAATAAATACAGAAAAAGAATCGACGCAAAATTTTTCAAAACGCCTTCAAGTCAAGGAAAAAAGCAAACCAATCAGTTATTATTTTTCAAACGAATCCTAGCAATAGATAAAGCTATAGAATTTTTAATAAATCCTTAACTGCTACCGTAGTGATAGCATGTTTTATTGCTCAAGATCTAAGTCATGCCTTTCACCACTCTTCTAACTAAAGTTTTCAATACGTTCACAATATAAAGTACTTTAGCTAAGACATTCCCTCTCCTATACTCCTGTACACAGTTTCTGCAATTTGTTTTTCTTCTCTAACACTTTTCACTCAAATCGACAATAACATTATATATAGAGACATATGTATGTTTTGAAATTATTATAATCATAATAATAGATACTTATGTATATACATACCAGCAACAAGTGTCATACGAATTATTGTGAAATACGTATCTGAACAACGAGCATTCAAAACGGGCAGCTATTGCCTAACATGTTATCCGTCTGTTACTTCACATACGTACATATTATAACAAATTTCCCCGCTTTGTTTCACATACATGTGATTGATTCTCTTTCTCACTGACTCGCATTGTATTTATTGCTATGCGACATATATTCGCCTTTTTCGATTTTTTGTTACAGTATCGGTAATACAGCTGTTGTTGAAAACAAGCACGTATTTTACTTGATCTGCCAGCAACTGGTTATAAAAACAAATGTCTTGGTTACCCGACGTCTTACTCATTAGTTATTAAAAACAAATTTATATGTTACCCGATTTGTTACCAATAGGCTATTGACCTTTTATTTCTTTTGAAATGAAAAATAGCAATTTAAAGTTTATTTTTGTTTATTTAAAGTATAATTTACATTTTTATTTCATAAAGTTATAATTCCTTTTACAAATAAATGTATAAAAATACATATAAATTTATACACCAGAATATTATTTATATACTAATTTGTTCTACTATTTTTACTTAACTTTCAAGATACTAAATACAAAGTTATTTTTTCTGTTTAAATTAATACTAAATCAATTCATTTTAAACATAAGCTCATCGAAATCTGTGATTTTATATAAATATATGCTAAAGCATATTAAACAATAAATAAATCCTTTAAGCTTTGTAATTCCAGCATATATCAAATATTTCCGGGTGACATCTTTATTCCTCCAGGATATCTGAAATACAAAATAAGAATAAAAGTGTCATTTTTATGGCAAGTAGCATTTTGCAGAAATGTTAATTTTTTTTTAAATAAATTTCTTGAAATCAAAATATAATTAAATCAATTTTATTTTAAAATAAATTCAAACTAGTTTAAGGCAAATGAACTTTCTTAAAAAGCTTCAAACTAAGAAGATCAGGTTACTAAAACTCTATAAATGGTCCGGTTTTGACTATAGTTCTTATTCCACAATTAGGCAAAAGTAAAATATCTTAAATAAGTCGTTTTACTAGAAGTATATGACAAGGAATAAAAATAATATTATTTTAAGCCTGAATGCATTCTATAGTTTTGTTAATTTAAAACGGAAGCATTTTGGGTATCCATAATATGAAAATGATCGATAAAGTTAAGATAAATCTTAAATACGTTGGCAGACATTCTCGAAACCACAGATTTCATAACACAGCCATTAGTTCTGCGTTGGACTTCCAGGCCACATTGTTGTTGGTGTTAATACTTGTTCCTAGATTGACGACTTCAAAGCTATGACAGTCAACAGTAACGTGAGAGCCGAGTCACGAATGTGATGACTGTTTATTTGATAACAAAAGATGTTTCGTTTTCCCCTCATTCACAACCAGATCCATTGGCTTCGCTTTTTTATCGAGTCTGAGGCCAACAATTTCAATATCATCGGCGTACGCCATCAGCTGTACACACTGATAAGGTGCGATCAATTGGTTAACGATGGGCTTCAGTCTTTCACACAGTACGCTTGATAGGACCTTATGTGCGATTTTAAAACGGATTATTCCACTTTAATTTTCGCAGACTGTGGGATCGCCTTTTTCATGGATTGGGCAGAGCACACTTAGGTTCCAGTCGTCAGACATTTCATCCGACCATATTTTGCAAAAAAGCTGATGCATACACCTGATCATGATCTGATTCTTCACCGCCCTATTTGACTAGCTCGGGAAGTATTCCATTAGCGCCCGACCATTGATTCTTTTTCAAATGGCCGATTGCTATTCAAACTTCTTCATAGCCGGCAACGAAAACGTTGTTCAATCGTCAATAATTGGAGTTTCACGTTCACCATCTCTGGGTGTATCATTTTGACTGCCATTCAGCAGGCTGGGTAAGTGTTCCCACCATTGAATCAGTACACTCTGGGCATCAATTAGTGGATCATCCCCCCTTTGTGTACTAAAAGAGTCTGCTCCGGTATTGAAAGCTTCTGTAAGCACTGTATCTTTCCGTAAAATTTTCGCTTCTTTTTTTTATGTAAATGCCTCTTGCTTCTCCCATCAGCTTTTAGTCTAGTTTTATCTATTCCACCCCGCACATGTTGTAGTCGATTCCAAGGTTGCGATGTAGGGAGCCTGTATTTGCGACCTTTTCGAAAGGCCATAGTTTCACCTCAAATCCCGTCCACAGTTTCCTTATAACGAGTTGCTGATCAGTGCTTTTAGGGAGCAGGAGTTCTAGTCGAGTAGAAACCCGTTCAACTGTTTACTGTTATTGTAGCTTTTCAACTTCGAACCTTCGTTTTGTTTGTTGACGCGGGTTTTTGCTGCACAGATGTAAGTGCGTATCCTTGCTGCTATAAGATAGTGGCCCTAGCCAAAGTTGGGTCTTGTCAAGAACACTGGATATATGTATTCCGTGCCAAGTAGCTTGATGAATTTTCTTGTGCTGGAATCTACTACTACAGGACGGGCTTTTTTGGACACCCTTTGATTCTGATGAGGCTCCAGGTCATTTCCCTCTTACGCGTGGCAACAATCGACTATATGTGCGTATATGTGTAAGAAGAACTTCAAGAAGAATCTCTTAAAAAGGTCTCTCTCCTGCCAGTGCCGGCAGTTATTAAGAAACCACACATAAGCTGTATTGGTTAACAACTCCGCTAGCGTTCGTGGGATGGTATTTTAAGTAATGTAACCGTGCGATAGCTCTTCTACTCGCAACACAAACACAACTAGATTTTGAGGGAGAGAAAGCTCTGTGAAATGATTCTGTAAATCTTCCCTTCAACTCTGCATCTGTATAAAACTCACGAAGCGCTTTCAGAACTCTTCGACCATTGCAGGTTCTTTGAATCCAAATTCTGTGGCGTATCTTAGAAGATTCTCAAGGTTGAAGTAATTCACCCAAGTCACCCTCAATATTTTTGCTCTTCTTCCCGTATTTAAAATCTATGTCGGTGCCTTCTTTTTGGTTCTCCTCATTGTTTTAGAGTCCCTGCTCGGTGAAATTTTAGGACAAGGATGCCATAGGCAACCATCTACTGGCTTACTGAATCTTAAAAACTATGATCGCGCTATATATCTGAACGCTCTATTTCTAAGCGTAAGCAGAATGATGAAGGATAAATTAAAATAGAAGTAACAACTTTTCAGTATCTTAAATTATTTATAATCATGTGAATTAATTACTATTCAAATTATACATGTAAATGCAGATATGGCGGCCGCGATAGCCCAGTGGTTAGCATTGAGTACTGCCAGCCGTGGTTCGACCAACATGCAAGTATTATAGAAAAGCAACTTTAATCAAAAATTAAGATATATTTTCTAATTGAGGCCGCTCCTCGACAGGGAATATTAATTCATCCGGGTGTATTTATAATTTAAAATAAAAACTCTTAACAAAAAATCATCAGCCGCTCGTTGGCAGCTTTGTTTAAACAGTACAGCCCTCCATTTTATTGGAAAAACATCAGAACGCATACCAAACAGCTTACAAAGTGCGCATTATAGACTCATACATGTATATACTTCATGAAAGTATATACAGATATGAATGAATTTATTTGGATTATGCATTTTACAAAAGTTTAGAATTTGCCGACATTCATATTTGATATTTACATCAAGCAATTAAAACAATATACCAATCTCCTGCTCCTGAAACTAAATGTATCCAAAGGCTTCCGTTTGAAAAGTTTTTTAAAAAATGACCACTCTTTGCAGGATACTTGGTATTGCTTAAAAACCCTCCGAATATTACGTCTGGGTGGAAAGTGGTTTTGCTTTACTAAGGCGAAGTGAATATGAATCAAATTTGCTTTTTGTATATTGCTTCACATAATTTTTACGCTTATCTAAAATATTTTGTTTCTTTCTAGATACGTATACTGTTCAGCAAGCAGTTAATCTCTTGGGATTTGGATGGTTTCATGTTAAACTATCACTTCTTGTAGGACTTTGTTGGATGGCTGACTCAATGGAAATGACTATACTTAGTATTATTGGACCAACAATGCAATGTGAGTGGGAAATATCTACGTTTCAAAAAGCTCTTCTAACTACTATCGTATTTTTGGGAATGATGATAAGTCCTACATTTTGGTCCCAGTTAAGTGACCGATATGGTCGTAAATCGGTAAGTATCTAATTAATTATATAAAGTGTTCGGAGAAATTTACTTGTTTACAAACGTAAACAATCCAAAGATTATTCAAATCGATGTTGATTTTTTTAAATACTGCTTAAGTTTTTATTGGTGATAATCCTGATTTTTTGCCTTACAGGCCTATTCTCACTGTTGCCGGTGAAGTAAATTTTGTTACTTTTTTTTAACACCCAAAATTGAATTTGGTATTCTGGCGAGCTGGTTACAATGTTTGAAAAAACTTTGGCAGCACTGCTTTTTTTCGTCCATATTGTTGCGAAAATGCGAGGCGAATGTCAGATGAAAGAGAGAAGCCGATAACTAGTACGTTCTAGAAACGATAAAACAAGAACCTTCCATAGCGAACAATTCGATGCTTCTACGCTTTCGTCTGCGAGCAGCCGACTGCTATATAAAGGCGACACTCAGCTGCAAGTCAAGTTAGTGATAAAGTAAACTCGTTGGCGTTAACATCAGTAAAATCGTAAAGTAAACGTGTTGGGATTACATTTAAGTAGAGTAAATTGTGAAAGTTGATGATGGTGATTGTAAATAATCAAGTGTATTGTAATTGAATTGTAAATTACGGAGTAAATAAAGGACATTAGATAGAATCTTTATAACGAAAGAAACTGCAAATTAAGTTGGCGTGTTTTTATTTAACAATCCAGAGATCGTACCCGAAGGATCTAGAAAATAATCGAGGTTGATTTAGTAAAATCGTAACAATATAAATTACATTTGCCAGTTGCTATAGTAAAAGAGAATAATATTCACATCGAAATGGAAGACGGTGCACAACAAAATAAATAAGTTTTATTTACTTGTTTATTAAATCACAAGTACTTGAACCTAGTTTGGGAAAATATGCCTAAGCGACAAAAAAGCTAAATGAAGGTAATATTACAAACTAAAAGGGTAATTAGTTTCTTGCAACTTCTTAACATACGTCTTTTTCTTTTTTTCTTCATCTTCAATGAATTCCAATCCTAAAATATGCCCTTCTATTTCGATGGTAACAAAATTTACAGGGTGACGAATAGTAAATTTTAATACCAAAGTAAATTTTGTTACCTCGGCAGAATAGGCCTGTTAGTAGACTATTTTCGACCTCGAAAACGTGCGAGATGCGATTTACTCAATAAATAATAAGGTTCCTAAGTTTCTCGTTTGCGGTCGCAATAGCTAATTAGTTAGCAGAGGCCACACCAGTATCCAAGAATATAAAAAGTTTTTTTTTAATATAATACATTTTATTTGCAATGTATTTAAAGTCCAAAAATAATAAGCAAATTATATAACGATGATTGCGGTCGGGCTGTGACTTGACAACTTAACTTATATTATTGATCTCCTGTGAGGTCAATAATAAAATACAATATGATCTAAAAGACTGCATAATAATGATAATTATCAATTCATTGTCATATCAATATAAGTAATTTAATACAACGAAGCTAATTTCTAAATGGAAGATCTAGAACAAGGTCTTAAGTCTAATGGAAATGAAATAGTACTTATCATTTCGCTTATATTTTAAGCCCCAGGTGTGATTAGAGGCAGCGGCTTTGGAATATTCCGATCTTCTTCTTCGTTCACTGCCATGTTTTTATCTGTACACGTCTTTTGTAAGTCATCATCATCATCACTTAGAATATCAAATCGTTTGGATGTATGACAATTTGTTTTTTCTTTTGATGGAGTGTAGGAGATTCCTTATTTCCACGTTTTCCACTTTTGATTGGAACACTTTGCCATATATTTTTTGTATGCTCGGTTTTTTCATTTTCTCTTGCTCCATTCATTTTAGAATGTTAATCAAGAGAATTTTAATGTTTTTTTTGTCTCTGTTCTATTTCACACTCTTACGAAACTAAATATATGGAGTAATGCAACGGTCAATTAACGACTTAGAAAGTTAATTAAAGAAATATTGATTTTTCTGATTGCAGTCGCCCATTGTCAGGGACGGTCAATGAATCCGAGTGTATTTCTGACAAGAAATAAGAGATCGTCATCAGCCGTTCACGTTTTTTTAAGTAAAAACATATCATAGATATGCATACACGTTATCCATTTAATTTTGAATAACAGTGTGCAGTAGTCTGGTGAGCGTCACTGCCCGTATAGTTCTGAAAATCTGTCTTATGCTAAAACTGCGTAGGGTACATGCACACGCACTTTTATTTAAATCGTGCATTTTTTTCGATTGTAGCCAAGTTAACAACAATGCGCCATTCGTTTCTTCTTTCTGCTGTTTGGCGCTAATTGGAAATACCAAACAAGATCCTCCTCTGGCTGGTATTCCAGCGAAGTGGAGGCCTTTCTCTCTCTCTGCTTTCACCGTCAGGTAGTGAATCGAAAACTTTCAAAGCTGAAGTATTTGTATCCATCCGGACCATATGACCTAGCCAGCGTAGCCGCTGATTCTTGATTCGCTGAACTAAATCAATGTTGCCGTAAAAATCGTACAGTTCATCGTTAAATCGTCTGCGATATTCGCCGATGACAACGCGCTAATCTTATGCAAAACCTTTCTTTCAAAAACTTCTAACGCCAACTAACCAGATGTTGTAGTCGTCCATGTCCGCACCATATAGCAGAACGGGAACGATGAAAGACTTGTAGAGTTTGGTTTTCGTTCGCCGAGAGAGGACTTTACTTTTCAATTGCCTACTCAGTCCAAAGCAGCACCTGTTAGCAAAAGTGATTCTGCGTTGGATTTCAAGGCTGACTTTCACTAGCTGACTCATTTGTTTCGCTTCGTTATGGAGTCTGGAGGAAGCAGAACTAATGGTGCGGCTGTTGAGGCCAATAATGTCAATATCATCGGCCAGCAGCTGTACACTCTTGTAGAATATTGTACCTTTCCTTGTCAGCTCTGCAGCTCGTATTATTTACTCTCTCCAACATCAAATTAAATAAATCACACGACAAAAAGTCTCCCTGTCTGAAACCTCGTTTGGTACCGAACGGCTCGGAGAGGTCCTTCCCAATTCCGACTGCACTTCTGGTGTTGTCTAGCGTCAGTTTACACAGCCGTATAAGTTTTGCAGAGATACCAAATTCAGATGTAGCGGCGTAAATGCAGCCCATATTCGTGCTGTCGAAGTCGGCTTTAAAATCTATGAAGAGGTGATGAGTATCGATTCTCTTTTCACGGGTCTTTTCCAAGATTTGGCGCATGGTGAATATCTGGTCAATAGTTGATGATGACCAGGTCCAAAGCTACACTCATAAGGTCCAATCAGTTTGTTGATGGATGGCTTTAGTTTCTCACACAATTCCCTTGACCTTATATGCGAAATTAAGGAGGCTTATCCCACGATAATGGGCGCAGACTGTGAGTTCCCCTTTTTTATGGATTGGGCAGAGCACACTTAAATTCCAATCGTCGGGCATGCTTTCGTCCGACCATATTCTGAAAAGTGGCTGATGCATGCACTTTGTTAGCTGTTCGCGGCCATGTTTGAATAGTTCTGCCGGTAGGCCGTCAGCTCTCACTGCTTTGTTGTTTTTAAACGGATGATTGCTATTCGAACTTCTTTATGGTCAGGTCATGGAGCGATTTTTCCATCATCATCTATTGTGATTTCGGGCTCATCTCCGGATACTCCATTTTCATTGCTATTCAGGAGGCTGGAGAAGTGTTCCCTCCATAAATTCAATATACTCTGGGCAGCCGTGGCTAGATCACCTCTTTGTGTCCTACAAGAGTCTGCTCCGGTCTTGAAACCTTCCGTAAGTATCTCGTATCTTCTCATAGATCGTTCGGTAATCTGTTTTAATTGAAGCTTTTTGACGTCGTACTTTGTTTGTTGACGGCCGTTCTTCTATACACAGAGGCGCATGGGTATCTTCGCTACTACAAGATCGTGATCCGAGTCGGTGTTGGGTCTTTGGAGTGTACGCACGTCAGGAACACTGAAGACATGTCTTCTGTCTATCACAAGATCATCGATTTTCACATCGTGGCAAGGGCAGCGCTCATAAGTATGCTCCGGCTATCTTTGGCCAAATCGTCCTTCTCTCCCATCGGGGTGTGGGCGCAGATCAACGATATGTTGAAAAATTTCGCTGTGTGGGAGGCGCTCCTCCACCGGGGTGCATTTTGCGCTCCTTTATATGACCGCTGTAGTAAATGTCACAACAATCTTCTCGCTTTCGTCCTTGTCTCATTCTTCGTACTTCTTGGACGGCAATTACCGTCAGCCTTTAATATAACGAGGGCATTTATCAGCTGGGAAGCGGCACCTTCCAATTAAGGGACCGGACATTCAAGGTGCATGCCCTCAAATAGTGATCCTTAATTTGTTTGCAGGGGCGTCAACAGAAAGAGGGTATCTTATCAGAGGCATTGCTAACTTTTCCATTGGAGCTGGTTTCTACGTGGCGTACTACCTCGCTAGGCGAGTAAGTTTTAAAGTGTTAACACATTTATATAGCGAGTCGCTTGCTTCAAGACCGACGCCTGCTCGCAGATGCACTTGTGGTGAAAAGACTCTGCAATTAGACTTTAGAGGACCCTTAACCAAATAAGTTGGAGAGGCTCCACTGAAGCTTCCTCTCTCATTAGCCTTGACCCAAATTTCCACAAGGGTTGCTCACAATTCCAGGGTGCGCGACCTGAACTCAAGAGTAGGAGTTGAGTATAGCCTCGCAACTGTAACCGCATGCCCAGAAACTTACTAAACCCCATTACAACCCGTTATTCAATTATGGTTTAATATAATGGCAAACAGTTGTATATCCTAATGTTATATATTTATAAGTTGAAATTATGCTATATACCGTGGTATTGAAAGCCTCCACGCGCAACCGATAGAAAATAATTTGATATTAAAGAATTGCATGTTCGAACTATTACACTTAAGCTGTTGCTTGGCTAACGAACAAGGATAAAGAAGAGCAAGGGATTATAGATGGAAAAGAAAGGGAACATCCTGCCTACGCTGGCGGGATGTGTTGTCTAGCGCTTTCTGCGGCTTTTG